TATATATATATATATATATATAAGCATTTATTAATTTTCCATTGTGCACGGGATTACACTTGGTTGGAAAAATGAATGATATTAACTTACATCTACATAAATTATTTAGCATGATTAAAACACAAACAACAGGCTTTGTGGATGATGTTAAAACACTTTCAATAATATTCTAATTATTCTGGTGATTCAAATAATTTTTTTTAATGTTTGTGTATTAACAGATATTGTAAATTTTTATAATATATATATATTTTTTTTTAAATATATGCATTATTCATATTATACTGTGCACTGGATACTGGATTATATGTGTTAGGACAAATTAATGATAAATAACTTACATCCACATAACTTATTTTACATGATTATTTTTTAAACATCACGAACAGCAGGTTTTGATTAAATTTTTACCTTACTTTCTTAGAGTGGCATGCTGTGGTCTTTCATACAAAAACAAATGCTCACAGACAGGTTAGAAAAATAAATGAATACTGTGTTAACATCAGTGATTCTTTCTTTTCTTTTTCTCTCTCCTTATCTCTTTCCTGCTCTCTTTCTTTCCGTGTTCCGTATGTGTGAATAAGTGTGTGTCTTTAAACCAATGCAGCGTAACTTATTGACTGTGACAGCCCACCCTGCATGATCCATAGGAGTCCAGTGTACACTTGCACGTCTGTCTGCCAAAAACTCCATCTGCCTTTGCTCGACCGGTTCCACTGTAGTTCGTATCCGTTATCCATTATGCCTATGCTGCTATCTGTGATGAATCCTGATCAACCGTGCCAGCTGATGCTGAGAGCTATATTTACAAACAGCTGTTGTTAGAGGTAAAACAACTCATTCAGAGAAGTAACACAGGTTGAGGTCAAGTCATATTTCATTTCACACAGAACAAGAAGTACATTTAGATTTTTAGTCAAGGGGTTCGATTTAATGAGATTTATTTTTACAAAGCTTTATATTATACACACACAGCTCCATAAGCAGGCAAGCATATAAGAAACAGACATCTCACATCAAGTCGATAAGCTATATTTGAATTAAAAGTGATTTCAGAAATTGAATTGTTTAAAAACCTCTGATATACATAATTTCAAATACTGTATTGACAGTCTCATCATATTTTCCCCAATGCCATTTTTCAGTTTACACATTAGCATATTATCTTAAATACATTACAAAAAAGACAATCAAACTCATTTTAGTGACTTTTTAGTGATTTTCAAATCACATTTTTTCAAATTTTGTTCTCAATAATAATTCTATTTTTAAATAATAAAATATAAATAATATTTAACATCTCATTTTCTTCATTTTCTCTGCTCTGCCACCCAAAACGAGGAAGAACAAATATGACCTTTTCTGTGACTTTTCTTAAAGTCATTTTCTTAAAATAAAAATCCCCAGAGAGCACGTCACCCTCTCTCCTCCACATCTCCCAGCTGTTCACATGGTCGTCCTTTATAAAGGGAAGACCAGGAAGCCTGAAAAAGTAGAGTACTTCCAGCCTCCCATTAGGTTGCCCCTTTCTAGCTTGAGGTAAGCCTTGTCTCCTCTTTCCATGATCACAAGCCCAGCATTTGTGGCTGCTTCTCGTGTCACATCCTGGTCTCCAGCAAAGGCTGAGATCATTGGCCATCCGTTCAACATCAAACTCACCTGTGAATAGGAAAATAGGTTTTCACAGCAATGCCACAGAAGAGCCATTTCTGGCTCCCCAAAGAACCTTTCAATGAACAATTCTTTCAAGTGTGCACCTTTTTCCATTATAAATAAGCTTTTAGTGCAATGGATGTTACAGTTCTTCATGGAACCATAGATGCCAATAAAGAAGCTTTATTTTTAAGAGCGCAAGAAAAAATTTGCAGTATGTACCTGTATGGTTTGCCTGTTGTATGCCTTCACCACATGGAAGTTGAAGCTGTACACCCCTCGCCTCGGAGCAAGAAAGATACTGCTCTCTTGGTCAAAATGACTGCCAACGTTCACCAAGATCTGACAAAAACTGACCAATTAAACGGAGCAAAACTACATACAAGTATTTTAATGTGGAAAGATTGCTTACCTGGTCAAAATAGATGATCATGGTGCGATTGCTCATGTCTGTGGGCTCATGGTTGGTTTGCCGTGTGGCAGAGAAGGCCACACGGCCGGTACCTGATCGCACGGACATCCCTAGCGCATTACCTGCTGGTTCTGAAGAGGGTGTGGAGTCACAGACCACCAGGCATTTACCCTCCAGTACTATGGGCTCCGTGTCATTTTGCCCTCTGACCACTAGAGGACCGATTAGCAGAAGTGTAGCTAGTATAAGCATTGGCAACCCAGAGCGGGGCAGCATTGTCTTATTATTTCAGCTTGTGATATCTCAGATGAAATTAGGTGAAAATGTTCCCTACAGTTTGATAAAGTAGGTCGTCTTCTGGAAACCGAGGAAAAATAAGTGAAGGATCCTCAAAAACTGTGAAGTTGTGAGCTATTGTAAAAGTTATAGATCTTTAAATCCTTGGTTCTGTCTTTCACCCTCACTTACTCTTTTACTCTCTCTCGCTATTTTGTCGTCACCCTCCTGTCTGTCACAGTTTCCCGAAGAAGAGCTACTTCTGTGCTTGTTAAATTGCCTGTAGGGGACCAAAGGCAAGGACACTTAGAGGTTTCTCATCATCCTGAAAAAAATCCATCATCATAGCCAACCTGTGAGAAGACAAAGAGAGAGAGAGAGAGGATAAGAGGAGCTCTGCAAGCCAACAGGTATGCTTGTGTGTGGGGGAGGAGGAAGAGGAGCAGTGAAGGATGAAGATCATGAGGTAACACTTTGGATCTCTTTCAGCTGAGGGGAGCAGCATCCAAGAGAGAGTGAGAACAAGAGAGAGAAAAAAGAACAACTCCACTGAGAGACCATCTGTCTTTAACACGCTCTCACTTCCCTCCTGACGTTCCACAACATGCAGGACCTCTCTCCCCTACGCAGATCCTCTATCCCTCTCTCCTTTGCTGGTGCTTATTGGCCGAACCTCCTCTCTCTCCTCAGTGCCTTGGCACGCTGAAACGGCTACAATATGCACAGTCCTGAAACCCAATGTACATCTCGGAATTTGAAGGAAAAGTATGTCTATATCAGGTCTTAAGTGGCACAACTCACCACATTAATTTACTATTCAAGTCATGTTTATAGTCTTTATGAAGCAATGACATTTACAAAGGTCAGCTTTCATTGCGCCTGGTCTTGAGTGAAACCTCAATGTTTGTGCACTTTTAAATAAGAACTAATTCTGCTCAGTGCTGTGCTTGAGCGATAGCTTAATTTTCTTCACAAAACTTCACTCTCCCAAAATTTTTAACATTACATAACATAGCTTTAGGTTATTTAAAATCTTTTTACAGCACTAACCTAGCTCCAAATTACCTTACACACCAAAAAATTTATTAAAAAAATTAATCAGCATTTTGCTTTGTTTCCATGTAAAAATATCTAAATATCCTTTATTATTATTATCCTTTATATAGACTTTATTTAAAAAAAATATTTTTTTACATCTTATTGTTTTTATAAAAGCATAAATCTAATTTAAAAAAAAAAGATTAATTTACAAGAAAACAAGACAAAAATACCTTAAAATACCTTTTTTTGTGTGTGTAATAAACAATTTTTTACTAAAGCTTATTTTCTCTGGAGTAACATAAGATGAAATGAAATCCTTAAGCTTTTGTAGTAAGAAAAAATAGCAAAATTACCTGATTTAGTGGGCTGTCCCTCAGTTTCCCAGGTGTAATGATGCAAAGTGTCAAAGCTTCTGTAGAGAGACACTGAATCTGACAGCTTACAGATCTTCCTGTACTCATCCTGTCTCTCAAGACCCTCCCCTTCCCACCCACTCCACCAGCGTCACCTCTCTCTCCCTTTCTCACTTTCTCTAATAATCCATGTAATCTTTCTTTGATGTAAACAGCATGGCTAAACTGGCATTTGTAGCTGTAAATGATAGCCAACAGTCAGTAGAAAGCATATAGAAGAAAACAGGAACCATAACATGACCCAGGGTCCCACAAAACATGACTGATCCACAAGGATCATAAGCATCAAATGGGCACAAATAATACAATAAAAGAAAATCTGAAACATTTTCAGATTTCTCAAATACACAAAGTACTTTTTATTTTTGAGCATCACAAGAAATAAAAACAATAAATTAAAGAAGAGTGAACTGTGCTTATATTTGGTCAAATTTCATCTGTCCATTTGTTCTCCAACCGCTTATCCTCTGTCGCAGGCATGCTGAAACCTATGCCAGCGTCTTGGGCCAAAGGTGGCAAAACCCTGAACGGATGGCCAGTCCATTAAAGGGCTATTTTTAAAATTGTGCGTGTATTTTTAAAAACAAATGGCTGCACTGCTTTAGTAAGGATACCTGAACCTAGATCTTGAAGGAAGGGCTGCCAACAGTGAGGTCTATAATAATAGGAGAAAGCTTAATCTCAATGGTGGTTTATCAGCTGGTGCAGTACAACTTGACAGTACATGATTTATTTTATTTTATTTATTTTTTTTTTTGCTCACGAGACGCACGGAACTTTTTGAGCCAATCACATGAACTGTACATGACAGCTGACAGTGCTGATTGGCTGATGGTGCATCACAATCCAAAAACCCTTCACTATAGTGTCTTTCTTGAGCTGTGATGAGAAAGGCTGCCGACATGGAAAATATTCAATATTTTAAATGCATTTTGAATTGCACGTTTATGCCTTTAAGAGCCTTCAAAAAAAAGGGCACTGGCAATATATTCACCAAACTAAAGGGATAAAAATATTTGAGATTTATATTTTGCTAATTTTGAATATCCGTTGTTGGAGAAAGATGCATTGGATCTCAGTATCCCTTTAAATGACAGTGAAAGCATGAGATGAAATACCTATTGATAAAGGTTTGACAATGAAAATGAAATGCTAAAATTTCTAAAAATTCTAAAAAATAAAATAAAAAAAAACATGCTAAAAAAATCTTTGACCATGTACATATTTGGAACATTTGTTGATTCTTGAAAAATAAAGTCTATTTTTGAGCCAGCCAGAGCATCATATATCCCTCAAGAAACATATAACTCTTTATGAAATAAAAGTTTCAACAGCACTGTCAGTTCCTGTCGTCACCCAAATCCAAGATGTATAAATGCCATCATATTTTCTTGAGGATGGTGACCCTGCTGTTCAGCTCTGGTTTGTAGAGGCCAAAGCCTAGGCAGATGGGCTGGGTGAATCTGGTACTGAAATTGTGCAGAGGGAGCAGGGTGGATGACGAACCTACTTGTGAAAAGGTGATGGAGCCAGAATCATAGTCCAGAGTGACTGCTAAATGGTTGCCAGACATTTTTGTGGAGAGGTGGGTTTTCTTTCGGTTATGCCAGGCAGCAAGTTTCCTGTCATGCTGCTGTGTCAGGCTCCAGGATATCTGAGTAAGATAACAGAAAATCATAATGCACAGAACATAATGGATTAAAATATAAAATGGGCTAGGCATCTGATATGATATGACTAGAATAATAAACAAATTCTGTTTTTATATCATTCGATTTAAGATCAGTTTTCTGAGAAATGTTCAGAGAAACGTGTACATTTTTTTTTCATTTTAATCATTAAATACTACCACTAGTAGTACTACTACTAATATTTATTATTATTAAAATTGATTAAATTTGACGACTATTATTTCATACTGCTTTCTAAATACTTAATACAAAAATCATTAGATTAATCACTTTTTTAATTTTATCGACACACAAAAAAGACACCACATCAACTTAACAGAAAGTAAACATTTTTCTGATTATATTTTATACATTTATATTCTGTTTTTCACAGTAAAAATGAGTCTTTATACATGAAAATATATGGGTACATTTATATTTTAAGAAGTTGTTCGCAGAGGGATCATCATGTTTGGCATTAAAAAAGTTTGTGTATTAGGTTAACAATCTACCTTGTTGCAGCCAAAGGCTGTGCCCTCTTTTGATTTTCTCCCAATGCTGTGGTAGGTCACTGCTATATCCCAGAAACCCTCCACCTCCAGCTCCCAGTAATGGGTTCCTGAAGAAAATATCTGACAGGAGACCACCTGAGACCAGTGGTCAAAACGGTCAGGATGCTCAGGGACAGACAAGCGGTTTTTGACCCTCATCACTGTCCGTAAGTCTTCAGAGATGTTTAGCAGAGGATGGGCTGAGTTTTTGTCCAAGGTTAATGGGCTGCTTACTAAATAACAAAGAGAAACAGCCGTTAGAAATGTAGCCACTAGATGACAGTATTAAACAAGGCAAATGACAAAAAAATGAAAATATTGATTCAGTTCACGCTTAGATTAGCTGAGAATCAATAGTAAGAATTGTATTACTTAAAAAAATCTAAATATGGGATCGGGGCCCATCATGGACTGTATTAATATTAACATGCCTACTTACAGAGATCTCTCTTGAGTTCAATTAGGCAGCGCAGGGTCTCGGCTATGCATTCTCTGTATTTATTTTCCACATTCTCTAAAACACGTTTCTTATCCATGCTGGGCTGAGGTGGTGTGAACAGAGGTGTGTTGAGATCTGCCATCATCCTGCAAAGAAGAATAGAGCAAAAGTAACCAAGTAAAAGATTCACACACTAACATACAACTGCACTCACAAATCACACGATTTTGCTATGACACTCACTAAAACAATCACGGTTTATCTAAAGACTTACTGCGAATCCTCTGTTTGGAATACCTGTGAAAAGTTAGGATTTTAATCTCTTTTAATCTAAATGACATAAAGTTCCTAAATAAAACTGCATGTTTTGTACAGTCAGAGAAGGTATTCAATAACAAAGACTTGGTTGCATTAAAAAGGCTAATAAGGCAATAAACCTAGTCAATTACATCTTGTATTATGTTGGTTTTGGTCATAAATTGTCTTGCGATGCTCTTTCTAGCATGTCATGTTGCAACAGCTATTATCAAATCAAATTAACACAAAATATGCCTTAACTGTGTTATTGTAGACATTTGAATTTAAACACACACACACACACACACACACACACAAACAATGTTAAAAAAATACATAGGCCTTTGATACAAGCTTGATATGCCATATTTTACTAGAATGTATTTATTTAAATTGAATGTATTTATAGAAGATATACATTATTTAAATAGAATGTATTTATAAAAATATAAAATAATAACTAATAAAATATCAGCTTTTTATCAGAATATGGTGAATGAGGCTTGATATGTATTTAATCTAGAAAACGTTAAAGTAGATCCTCATACCCAGATTAGCAGGAAGGGGTCGCTCTCATCCAGCAGGGAGCCAAAGAAGCGGTGGATGCTCTCAGTTTGGTTCAGATCTTCTCTTACTCTGCTGCACTCTTCCTGCACCCTCTCCATGGCCTGCTGTCTCTCCTGCTCCGTGATTTTTATCACAGCTGACACCAGTCGGCCCACCTGAGCCTGCAGGGCTGAACCCATCTGTAACACCTGGGAGACATCACTCACAGAGGAGTCCTCCTGAAACACACACACACAAACACACACAGAATATGTAACGTATGCATGTTGTGTTCAGTTATGAGAACCCGTAGTCCTTATATTTCAGGTTAGGAATATTTAGTTTGATTGAATATGAGATGCCAAAGAGGCTTAAACTTACTATGATGCTGCGACAAGCTTTCTGATGTTCTTGAAGCATCTTTTCACCTCGCTTTACTTTCTCTTCTGCTTTCTCAAACAGGCTCTGTAATTTGACCTATACACATTACAGAATTGCTTTTTAAATTTGAGGAGTACCCTAAGTTATTTCCTGTGAATGTGCGAGACTTCTGCTATGTACATAACTGAAGAATAACAAAAGTGCAGTAAATGTTAAAACTGCTCTACAAGTGTGTATGAATACGACAATGAATTAAAATCAACTGAATAATTCAAAAGAATAACTGAAAGTTAAAATGCCCGGGTCCACTCTTTACATATTTGCAATGTCATTATCAATAACTGGACAAACACTAGATACAATTTCTTCTGCATAGATTTTCAAAATATCAAATCCCTCAAATGCTGAACCGCTTGAACGTTTTTATGACTGTATAATGTGCAAGAATATTTAATGAGGCAATCATATTTCAGTTTATGATTGGTTGTTTGTCACTAAAGGACTGTTTCTTCTCAGCACCATGAAAAGGAGCACCTTTTAATCCAGGGTTAAAAGCGGTGCCAACTTTACATTTTTTTTTTTTTAATTCCACTGTGCAACTTTTCCATTGGTGTTCTAAACATGCGTCATACGGACGACTTTGAACACTGCATTTTCAACACATTCTGTGTGAATGGCCCCTGCAACATTGCTTTACTCTGGGTTAAAAAGCATTATTCTAAAAAAGGCAATAAACTGGTGTAAAGCTCAGTGTGAACAGTCCTGGACCATAATTAAATCCCTCAACAGGACTTTTTCTTAAACAACAGTATAATAGATCTAATGACTTACTTTGTATTCCTCCTCCACTTTTTTCACCCCTTTGACTTGGTGTTGAGCATGCCGTCCTTCCAAAATGCAATCTGGGCAGACATACTTCCTGTCATCCATGCAGTAATACCGGAATACCTCCCAATGAGCAGGGCACCTGCGGCGGGATACATCCATCAGTGGCTCCACCAACAGGTGAGTGCTGTAAGCAGGACGCTGCAGATGTGGCTGCAGATGCTGCTCACACAGAGAGATCTCACATCGCAGGCAGGTCTTCACTGCAGCATGGGCCTCATTACCCTCGTCTTCCAGACAGCAGTCGCATACCACCACCCTCTGCTCCTCCAGGCGCTGTGGGCATACAAATCTTCGCTTGCCACAGACGTTACTCTGGCTCCATGCCTCTTGCGCACAGGCCAGGCAAAAGCTGTGGCCACAGGGAAAGGGTTGAGATCGATCAAAGAGGTCACGACACATGGGGCATGTGTGCTCTTCCTCCATGGGAGCCCACAGCTACTGCAAATTTATTTTAAACATGTAAACAAATTTAATGTATTTAATATTTTACCAAAACAGTGAAGTTTGCGTATCCCAACCAGCCCAACACAGCTACACTGACTCAATCAATAGCATAAGTTTGGGATGATACTATACATTGTTTAATTCAGTTACATTTTTATTATATTTTATTTTTTTGAATATTTTTTATATAATTTTGTTGATGTCTGCTCCTAAAAAAGCTTCTAAATCATTTAGCCATTTACTCCCAGTGCATAAAATATGCATGACACAAAATACAACAAAAAAGTGTGCACTTGCTGAAAGGTAATGACTGGTCACTCATAAGAAGTCAAATGCTACACGGATTAATACAGACCTATTTGGCACAAACTAAGCTCTACTATTTAGTTAATCTGTCTCCTAATCAACTATTTTTAGAAAGCTGTTCCATTTGACTACTGGATAAATGAGGTAATCTCTCATGAGTCTCGATTGAAGTCATTCAATTATTATATAAAAGGTGATGTTTATTTTTATTTTTTGAAAGTTAATATGCTATAAGTCAGTCTTTTGTAGGCCGATTCTTCCAAAAAGTGTAAACACTGGGTCTGTGACACTATTAGAATTAGCAGTTTTTTAAAGTATCTGACCAGCCCACCCCAGTTACATTAACCCATCCAATGCCATGAGTTTGGGATGAGACTATTTGTTTGATTAGCAATGGGAGATGAGAGGAGTGTTTAGGAAACTGTTTCTGTCATTATTTTTGCAATTCTGTTTGGCAACACTGATCGCACAGAAATGACACTTAAATTTATAACAAATTTGGTTACAATTACATGGTTGGCGCTGGGATAAAACTGAAAAGGCTTACCTTTTTTTCTCCTGCAGCTTTGTGTGAAGGATGATTTCATACAGAAGCACAACCCAAATGTACATAGAGAGAGTGTGTGTGTGTGTGTGTGTATGTGCGTGTGGGGCAGCTGGCTTATCCTGCAATGTCTTCTTAATCAGACTGACTGACCTCTCAACACAGAGAACTGCTAAGCTATCACATGACCTGTTCTTTACAAAAGCATTTATGAGGTGAGTGAAGGGAAGAAATGGAAGCAAATTAATTTCACTTGGTATCTGTTTAAGTAACACTGATTGCTATTTTGAATAAATCAAGGTATAATAAAGTATTCTAATATATATTAGCTGTTATGGTTCAAAAACACAAGAAAACTGACATCCGTTGTCTTTTTATTTTGTAACTCCAAGTTAAGTGTTCTTTTCATTTTAATACATACAGTTCAAATAGAAAAAACTAAAGGTGAAATCAAACTTCCTTGTCTAAAACCACTGCAAAGCAGTCACAGGTGTGGCACTATGTGTACTTTTTGTTAGGAAGCTGATAAACCAGTTCATCAAGTGCAGAGGCGCATTTAGTACATGGGCAAAGACAGAAAATGCTTGAATATTCATTATCTTTATTTGTTTAAAATAGAGAAACCAAAGAAAGACTGAGAACTAAAAAACAGAACATTGGGAGTGAGAAAAAAGGACAGAAAGAAGATACTGAAGCAAACTTCAAGAACTACAAACTGACAGTCTATGACGCATGATGGAGACAGGAGAGGACTCTGATCGTCATTACAGTGAGTTTTCACCATGTTGTACATAAATTTTTAAAAGTTTGACAAAACCTATATTTGATGATCTAACACAAAAGTCTTCAAAATAACTTCTCTTTCAAGATAAATTCTCTTGTATCTCTTACATACTATGTATACATTGTTGTTCATATGATGAAAGATATTATATAAACATCACTAGGATTGTACATAGAATTATTCCCAAGAAGTACAAATCAATATAGTGAGGTCAAAACTTTTTACTTCATACAAATGTGAGAGATCTTATTGTGGTTACACTGAAAGTAAAACCTAGAAGTTTCAAAGCAACAACTTTACAGTGTCCTGAGATAATGGATGTTAAGATAAATGTACAAAAGCTAATGATACAAAGCCAAGCTGGGAAACTTTGTAAAATTGTCGGAATGTAATTTGATTTGCAACCTAAAAACAAATACAACAATGCAAGGCAAACTACAAGAAATGCATTTGCTTTAATATTACAAATCACATGCATGAACCAAATGCACATGGAAAGTACACGATTTATACATTTGACTATACACCTAAAATATGATAATGCATTTGTTAAGGTTTGTAAACTACAAGTGATAATTACAGGTTCCTTAAATTTCTTTTGCAGATTGTCCAGCTCTTCCAGAGATAAAGGCCATTATAATCGGCAGTAAAGCAGAGTACAAACGCAGTGCAGCTGATACCATTTTTGGTCATAATGACTGTAAAGTGAGAAAAGAGATAGTCAAGAGTGAAATGAAACAGAGGACAAATCAGAACAGGTCTGTTACTTTGGTAATGACACCAGGATGGTGGAGGAGCGTCACACTGGCAGAGAGTGCAAAGTATTTAAAGATGGAGATTATGCACAGTTTAAGACTGTGTTCTTCTCCACATGCCTTTCTTCTAGTCATCAATCTACACAAACCATTTACAGTCATGCACCTAAAAAGTGTGGTGGAACACATGGAGATTTTTGGTGAGCAGATCTGGAACCACACCATCGTTCTGCTCATGTATGACAACACAGATCAGAGACATGCAGACAGCAAGCAGCTAATCGAGAGAGCAGGGAAAGAGCTTGATATTGTAATAAAGAAGTGTGGGAACAGAGTTCATGTCTTCAATTATACTGACAGCAAGGGGATAAATGTGGAAAAACTGTTCCGTGAGATAGAGAACTTGGTAGCTCAGCATGAAGGACAGTCCTTTAAAATTGACAGCAAACTGTTTGAAGATATGGAGGAAAAGAGACGAAATGTGAAGAAACAAGCAGAAGAGAGATCCATCCAAATAAAAACTAAGATGCAAAACTTGAAAGAACATCTAACAGGTATGGAGCATCTTTGGGTTAAGAAAATATTCAACAACACTGTAGAATTAATAGAAATGATAGAATTGTCTTGGATGACTCCAGCTAAACTGTTAATGAACTTTCATGTTCTTTTCGGCAGAGAAATTTTTTCCAGAGTTAAGGATTGTCCTAATGGGTGGCAATATTGTTGGGAAGACCTCAGTGGTGAATACCATCTTAAAAATTAAACAAGAGAAGAGCGTGACAAGAAAATGTGTGATGAGTGAAGGAGAGGCTGACAAGAGAAAAGCCATTTTAATTGACACACCTGGATGGTGGCCGTATGCATCTGTAAAGGAGACTTCAGAGTCAGTCAAGCAGGAGATCATGTCAAGTGTTACTATGTGTTCACAAGGACCTCATGCAGTTTTGCTGGTTCTGCAGTCTGGTGTCGCCTTCACTGAGGCACAAAGGAGATCTGTCAAGGAGCACATGGAGCTCCTGGGTCGAAATGTCTGGAAGTACTGTATAGTGGTGTTCACCAGGGGTGACTGGACAGTCACTCCCACTATTGAAGAACACATTGAGAGTGAAGAAGAGAATCTGCAGTGGCTGATCAATAAATGTGGAAACAGGTATCATGTAATTAACTACATGGAGCAGGATGATAGGGAACAGGTCAGAGAGTTGATGGAGAAAGTGGAGATGATGGCCAGAGGAAACACAGATCTCCTGACACCTTTGGATGTAGTGATGGAGGAGACTGACAGTGGGTGGGGATCTAAGTCAGACCAAGACAAGTTAGAGAGAGGAAGCTTTCATCTGGATCCCCCTTACAGTAAGTAACCTGACAAACTCCTTGCAGAACAATGATTTAATTACTGTCAGTAAATGTTTACACAAAGTTTTATTAATTGTTAAATTTATTCCTATAGTGCATGACTACATTACAAAATGGCTTGAAAACACAGAAATTGTGACTAACTACAGATCAGATCTTTCAGAAGGCATTTCAGAGGATGGTACAAAAAATCATGATCACTGATGGCTTGCAGAGGTAATTACAGAAAACAGTAAGAGAAACAAACAATAGCATTGTATGCAATAATTTTTCATAATCATTACAACTAAAAAATGAGAGCAAGGATGGAAACTTGTTTATTTGCAGTAATACGTTTTTTAGTTTTGTTTATGGGCAAATATGATTGTAAATATGGGTTTGAATTTTGTTTACTATTTATACAATTATCCCTCATGTCAGATCTACTCATATTGTTTGTAATGTTAACAATCATACCCTGTGGAGCAACCTAAGGTTATGTGTCTAACTCAAGACTAATTGCTAATAAGTAATCTCAGGAAACATCAATCTATTTCGCATTCAAGTATCTGTTGCCATAACTTTATATTGTCACTGTTGTCACTGATGTCACTGGTATGTGAGTTTGTATGTAATACTCCAATACTTCATATTCAAATAAAGACAGAAAACAAAAATGTTGCTGATTGACTGCAAAATCTACAAAATTATTAGGTTGCATAATGCCTGTCATCACAGTTGTTTCTTCATTCATCATGGTTCACATTGTAGGTTTTGTGCCATATGCTAGTGAACTTCTTGGCTAACTGTTCTAATATTAATTCTTGTCTGTGCTTACCGTAATTCAGTCAGTTGTGTGAATAATAAACACACCTTGGGTGAGTGATAACGGGTACAGCTGAGTCCTCAGATATCACCAGTAAGGCTGGACATTTTTTGAAACATCTCAGTTACGTATGTAACCTTGGTTCCCTGAATAGGGAATGAGATGCTGCGATAAAGTCATCGCTATGGGAACTTCTTCAGTGTGACGAATGTCTGAAGGGCTTATACTGTCACGAATCCTGTCCATGGACTTCCATTCAATCACCACCAGAGGTCACCCTTCCATTCCATTGACTCTCGCACTACACAAACTGTTGCACTTCACCCGGACTACAGTTCCCATCATCCATTGCACTGATTACACACACACAGTTGATTGCGTACAGCACTGATTGCACACAGCTGCCATCAATCACACCTTCCCTATTTATACACTCACTCTGATCCCCGTCAAGCTGCCGAGT